TTGTTGAGGAGGGGACGGCGACTGCCAGCATGGGGGCGGGCATGACGGGGGGTGGGTTCAGCAGGGGAGGGGTACTGAGGGCAACAGCATGTGTCGTGCGCCAAGAGCACACGCACCCCAGGTGAACAAAGGATCGGAGGCACGCAAATATGTGGAACGCAAGCATGGTAGAGGGACACAATCGGATGCATATATAGGATGTATGCGTGAGCCCGGCGCAGCCAAGGTGCTGCAGCGCGGCGTATTTAAAAGGCGCTGCTTTCTGCGCGCCCATCTCTCATGATGGTGGCGACGTTTCATGTGGAGCGCAGCATACTGCGGGGGCCAGCACCCCGGCGTTGCGCGGCTGCGGCTTCCCACCCTGACGCGCTGCGGCTAGACTGAAGCCGTGGTGCGCTACTGCCCCCACACTGCATGACCCAGCCGGGTGACCTGGAGCCCTCCACCCACCACGTAATAGCTGCAGCCCTTCGGCAGGTTGGGCGCGGGCAACAACTTGGGAGGGGGCCGCGTGGGCGCCCCTGGCCCCGGGAAGAACACAACCCCAAAGGTGTCCCCTGGGGTCAGCACGCCTGCCACGCCGAACGCGACCTGGGATAGCGGTGTGGCAGGAGTGGCAGTTGGCGCACCGCCGGTTCCTTGATTGGGTCAACCAGGAACGAGGGGGCCACAACCAACTCTGTGCGGTCTCGCTGGCCTTCAAAACTCGCAAGCAGAACCCCTGTGACATGTGGCGCTGAACGTGTGCTGGTGTTGACGGGTCAGGTCGGTGATGCAAAGGCCCTGTGGCTGACAAAGCTGGCACCCACCCTGAAGTTGCCGTTCTGAGCGAAACCTGGGCAGAGGGGTGGACGCGCCGGGGCCGGGCTCAAGCGTGCATGCTTGTTGCATTGCAATCAACGCTGTTGGTACCAGGGCCACCGCATCAAGGATAACCCCCAAACCTTTCGACACTGAACCCCCCCACCCAAACCTCATACAAGCCGCACCTGGGCCCCAGGAGTTGCGCGCTATCCAAAACTGGTTGACGTTGTCATACCTGCATTTGAGGCAGGTGTGCGAAGGCATGGGTGAGGATGCTGCAGTGAGCAGCACGCGCCGCGGCACTTGAGCCCCCTTCCCCTAAAAAACAGATTGGCTGATTGCGCCAAGATTGCGGCGTGGAAGGCAGCACGACGTAGGATCCAATGCGCTGATGATGGTGCTGCCTGGCAGGCAGGCACAGTGGGTCCAGCCTGCCACCCCTGCGCTGGTCCCCTCGGCTGGCGCTTGTGCCACGCCCGCGGCTGCGGCCCTAGCGGAATCCTTCGCCCCACGTCAGCCCTGAGCCGCACGCGGCTGCTGCACGACTGGCAGGTGGGGCCCCCGGCAGTGAGCCCAGTCACGCAGCGCACTCACCCGACCAGCAGGATTGCGTGTGCAATGTCAGGCTTGATGCCTGGTGACGGCCGGTACACCGCTCCAGCGTTTTTGGGGTTGGCAAAGAACGGCTTGAAGTCACTGCGTGCGCACGCCACCACACATGTGCAAGACGTGAGAAGGCAGGTGGTTGTGGGGTTGAGGCTGCACTCGGCTGCAAAAACAATGCACGCTGGATTTAGGCACGAACGGCACGCTCACGCCCTCCACCAATATTGCACGAGCTCCATCAAGTTTTGGGTCACCTGTACACGTCGAAGCGTGTTGCCTGCGCACGGCGTGAGAACGAAAAACAGGGGGGGGGGAGGGAGGGGAGGGGGGCAGGGTTGATGATTGTGAGCGGCAATGTGCGCCACCCAACACTGACACCAATCCTGCAGCCAGTCATGACGGTCATACCCATCTGCGGTCTCCGCCAGGATG